AAACCCCTGCTCTAGTGTAATCGTAGCTTAACACGTGGCTATGATGGCTTTTCTCTTCTAGTTTGCTTTAGAAAACACTATGGGTTGTGTTTAAGAATAGGGGTGTGGGTCAGTCGATATCAAGCTGATATATTAAGCACAACAACACGAGACTGATGTCAATATTTGTAGAAATATACACATATTTATGAAAAATGATTTATGAGAAAACATGCTCTAGTAACATTTTGAGATTTTCAAAAACGTACATGGCGCCCTCTAGTGGATTTGTCAAAACTGAAGCAGCAAGAACATGTAGTCTAAGGGCCTACTCACACTATGCCATCCGTACCGTGCCCAGGCCCGTTTCCCGGATCGTTTGAGAAGTGTGAGTGCGCTGAATCGGGCTCAAGCACGGTTCACTTGGCTGGCCCTGGCCCGGTTGGAAGAGGTGTGCCTGAGCGCGGTACACTTGGGCTTTGGCGCGGTACACTTGTGTGTGAGCGCGAAACGCGCCAAAGCCCGAAACCGAAAGCGAGACGTGACTTTTAAGGGACTGTTTGATATGGATTTATTAATCATTCTTACTGTTCAGTGATCGCAAACTGCCGTAGTTTATTAAAGACGCAAACTCCTCACAGCACGCCAGCTGCGCGCCTTCAGCAGACCTCCTCATTCCTGCAGCAGGAGAGCTTTGATTGTTTATGAGTGCCAAAAGTGGCCGATCTGTTCGGTTTAAATATCTGACTGCGTGTCCCCGCATCATTAAGGACTGTTTGGCGAAATATTTGACTGCATGTCACTGAATATCAAACAACTGAAACGATATAACTAGAGAAATCTCCACTGTGCTGCTGAGTGAGAGAGCGTATGGCAAGCCGTTTTAACATTTAAACCTTGTTCTGACTATCCATAAATATATTTAGAGATATAATTGTATATTTTGACAAGTCATTATTATAATTCGACTAGTCAGAATGACAATTAGAGATATCTGCAATTGCAATTGTACTTGTACGAAATCAGATTGGAGATATCTGCAAATATATTATGACTAGTCATATTCCTCCATTGACTTCCATTGAAAAATATTTGCAGATATCTCTGAGTTTTGACTCGTCAAAAATCCAATTCAAGATATCTACATCTGTAATTCGACTATTAGTAAATTAATTAGAGATATCTTCAAATATATTTGTAAATATCTCTAAATATTACGAATTAAAGACATCTCCAAATGTATGACTAGTAAAACTCAGTTAGAAATATCTCTAATTACAATTGTGACTAGTCAAAACTCATTTAGAGATATCTGCAAATATTTTTCAATGGAAGTCAATGGAGGAATATGACTAGTCATAATATATTTGCAGATATCTCCAATCTGATTTCGTACTAGTACAATTGCAATTGCAGATATCTCTAATTGTTATTCTGACTAGTCGAATTATAATTATGACTAGTCAAAATATAATTAGAGATATCTCTAAATATATTTATGGAGTCAGAACAAAGATTTAAATGCTAAAACGGCTTGCCATAGAGAGCGCTTCTGAACAGCGCAGCAGCGATGACGTAAGCGTGCCGAGGCCCGATATGGTGTGAGCGCGGGCCGTCGGGGGAGACGGGAGGGGGGACAAGCGTGCTTTGGCCCGGTTCGAGGCAACTGTACCTAGTGTGAGTACGGCCTAAGGTACATATTTGTGGGTTCTCAAAAAATTGTAGCCCTGGGAACATATTTCCAGTGTGCCTGATTGTTAATTAAATACTTTTCTTTGTAATTTCCAACAAATATAACATAAATATAGAAATTCAGGACCCTCATTTAACATGTTTGATTGCGTATTAATTTTTATTGTTATATTTGATATCAACTAAATATGTTGTGTGCTGTATTGTCTTCAGACGTAACTTAAAGTTATGAATGTGTTAGCAGTCAAGTTTTTAATCACAGAACAATGCAGTGATATAACATCAATAAAGATTAAACTAATTTCAATAAATCCTGTTCATTTTGTGTCCTGATTCTTGTTCTCATCCAGCAGAGTTGATCTCCTGCATCCTGCTGCTGGAATTCCATGCACCACATCGTAAAATAATATCCATAAATTAGCAGAATTAAGTTGATCAACAAGATTATAGCACTGAAAAAAAATTATTCAAAGATGATTCCTTGGATTTACTAAATTTTTTTACGTTAAGTGGTTGTAAACAATTTAGTTGTGTTGAATTTAAACAAGCAAGTTAAGTTGAACATTATTCAATTTAATTTGTTTGTTTAAATTCAACACAAATAAATTGTTTGCAACAGTTCTGCATGCCACAATTTTTTCAATTGCAGTGGATCCTGACAAAATATCTTTAAAACAAAATCTATATTTCGGCTACATTTAAAAATGCTTGGCATTTCGGTGACAATACAGTGAGGATGTATATAAACTTTTTAATTATGGCAGTGTTCAAGAAATAACTTACAGTGGGGGGAGTAAGTACTGAACAATTTGTCAAATTGCCGTCAATGTGGAAGCCTGTGCTTGTGTGCGCTTTGAACCAGGTGTGCAATACCTAGTTCAACCACTGGGTGTCAAACTGACATACTGCCCCTCTTAAGTATTTGCAGGATTAAATTGCATACAAATCAATCAGTTGTAAACAATATATATTGCATTTATAAACACAAAGGTGTCCTTGTTTTACACTAGAAAACACTGTGTAATGCTACATGTTGCTAGTGTTTTTTAGCTCGTTGTTTTGTGGGTGAAAAAGTGAGTTTGTCAGCTGTCAACCTTTGCCAGTGTTCTAAAAGAATGAGTTTATTTGAGACCTGAATAAAGTGTTTTGGTACTTGTAGTGCATTTTGAATGTGAATTCCACTGCTTTGCCAAGCTGAAAGTCTTTTAGCCTGGAAGACATTAATCACAACAATATTTTTTGTGATTTTAAATAAAAAAATATCGACTGTAATAAAAAAAAAAAACTTTCATGCTGCAAAAATGATTTCCCCTGTGTTTCTCATACACATTTCCCTGTACTTTTTCAATAATTAGCTAGAAGACGTTTGCCGACACTGTGGTGAAAACAATGGAAGCATGCCATGGTCAATGTGTTACATTTAACCCCATGTTACTTTGTGCCCCGCACCTCCCTAAAAGTCACAGTTTTTGGTATATCTGCTTTGGTTGTCTTTTATATTTACAAGATACCAAAATCAAAGTTTTGTAACAGTACGATATAAAACATCAGGAGTAAAAGAGCCTAAAGGGAATTGAACCTTTGTTTATTTAAGAAAATGCGCAAGTGCAGTTTCACATCCTGATACAAAGATTCTTAGAAAACCTAAAGATATCCAGATCATGAATAGGTACAGACAACCAGACAGTGCAATTAAAGAATTTAACCATTTTAAATGTCTAAATTAGGAAAAATTAAAGGTTTAGTTTGTGGTTTGTCCCAGCCATTATGTTATAAAACATATGCAATTACATTTAGATTAATAAAAAATACATAAATAAAATCATTAGCCATAATGTTTTGGTGAGTTAAAAAAGCCAACTTTCTCATAAGTTTGGTTTAAATACTGCTGTTGTCCTCTTACTATAGCTTTTGCCTGATCAACATCATTCTGGATCTCGAGCACCTGAAGAACTTTCTTCGATTATTTTAGGGGTAAGGTAAAATATGATCATGATGCATGTAATGTTTAATTATATTATTTATTTATTCATTGCTATTAAACTACTGTAAAATGTGCCTTTTATTGTGCCAGTCTGTGTACAAACTCCCATTTGAGCTGTTCGTTTTAGTATTTGTGAGACTCTGTTGCCTTTCTATACTTTCATCATCTGCTCCTCTCTGTATCTTCTAGATCATTGAGCTGAATGAAGATGAAGATTGAAGCTCTTCTCCTCATTTTAGCTGCTCTACAGGTGAGCTTGTGTTCTAGTTGTTCAATTTAAGGTTATTCGTATGGTGCTTTTCACAGGAACTATCATTCCAAAGCAACTTTACATAATACACTCATTATTACACTACAATCAAAGTCAGATAGAATTGAGGTGTTGAGTATATGCACTCTCAAAAATAAAGGTACAGGAGCTTGACTGGGGGGTACCTTTTCAAAAGGTACACATTTGTACTTGAAGGGTCCATATAGGTACCTCAAAAGTATATATTAGTACCTAAACATTTTTAAAGAAGAGCACTTTTAAGGAACTAATATATACCCTTGAGGTATTAATATGGACCTTTTAGGTACAAATTTGTATCTTTTGAAAAGGTACCACCACAGTGACAGCTCACGCACCTTTATTTCTGAGAGTGTGGAGTACAGTACAGCGGTCAAACATGTACATAGTTAAGCTGCTGTTATACAATATAGGGTTTAATTTCAAAGAGTGTTATAATGTGTTTTCAATGAAGTGATCCAACCCAAGCTCATTCTGAAAACGTAGCCCCGCGGACGTTTCTGGAGACCGTGATTTATGTGGATGGAGGTATGTATGGCCGCATTTAGTTTTTTCAAGCCAACCCAAGCTCATCACGCTCGCATGCTGGGCTGACGGCTCGCCTCCTCCGTGTGGAGGGCTTTCCCGCCGCAACTAGTTTGTCCAGTTAGCTGGTTGTATTACGTCAGTGGAGCGGAGGCCCGAAGGAGGAGGAGGAGCCAACGTTCGAGACTGAGTTCGAGTCCGGGGAAAAGCGGTTCTAGAAATCAGGTAAGACAAAAAACATAATTCAAAAAAATATAGCGAACGGGGCGAGAATGCAGCGAAATCTGAAAATGTGGTCAAAATCAGACGAGGGCTTTTCTTTTTTCGCATGGCTTTCGTAAATCGTCACTTGGGTTTAGGGAAGGAGGAGGAGAAGGGCGGCCGGGTTGGCTAATTGGCCACCCGCCCAGTCAATCGTTCAGTCATTCTGTCAGTCAAATAGAGACGGTCTCTCGACAGCGGCCTCTGGTGGCTTTTTACGCGATAACAGCACGCTCGCGAGAGGCGTTCGAGACGCGAAAAAGTGCACACAGCGGTCTCTTTCGGATTCTCGAAAACAAAAACTGCCCAAATACGTAAATCCCAAGACGTATTTCGCGGTCTCCATAAACATCCGCGGGGCTACGTTTCCAGAATGAGCCCGGGTCGAAGTAATCTGATCAACAAAAACACTAAGAACATTGTGTATATTGTGTATTGCTTAAGACTTTGTGCAGTCCTCAAAGTCTTTGTACGGATGACAGCATCTCTTCAAGTCCTCCTAGAGATGGCAGCAGTTCTTTAAGTCGTTGGATTGACATCATCTGTTCACAGGTCTTGGATCTGTTCTAGTATGAATATTATTACCCATATCAATACTGATGATCTGATCATTATGATTCCTGTCACTGCAGGATCACAGAGTGGCTGCTGTTGAAGAGCAGATATTTCCACTGGATATGGCTCTGAATTCAGCTGATGATCAGTTTGACGGATGCAAAGATGAAATGGCATACAAAGTGGATAATTACTATCTAAACAATGAAAAAAATGGCAATCCTAAATTCAAAACAGCTTGGGATGTCGCAGAAAAGGCTGTACCACCATCCCCAGAAAATCCACGGAATCGTACACGCTTAATTGCCATTTACGTGTACACTGACAGGATTGCATATGCAGACTTCAATAAAGCTGTTCGAAGCGGTAAACCTAAATATGAAAACGGCAACTTCAAATGGTATTCGCTTTACTTTCTTTTAACAGATGCGGTGCAGATTCTGAGAGCAAGCCAAGATAAATGCTATGATACTTACCGTGGTACAAACGTGAACATAAATGATCAAAATGTTCTGAACACAGAGGTCCGATTGGGTTCTTTTGTTTCATCTTCTCAGGATCGAAACATAGCGAAGCGTTTTGGAAATAAGTCTTGTTTTGAGATCCGCACTTGTAAAGGTGCTGATATTGCTAAATATTCTAAGCTTCCTCGTGAAAAAGAGGTGCTGATTCCTCCATATGAGATATTTGAAGTCACTAAAGTCCAGAAAAAAACTGATCAGCAAGATCTCTGGTGTGAAACCGTGTTCACTTTGGAAAGCCAAAACAAGACAAGAAGTGACCTGAACTGTGCTGTAGCCAAGAAACGATCCTGGGGTGAGTTTCTCAAACAACAACGTAACCATCGCCTTGAGGAATGGATGCTTCAGTTAGGAATAAAACAACATAGTGCAGTTTAACATATTAACGTTTGATTTTGGTAACGCGACACATCATTTTTCTTTATACAATACAAGTTTTAGTGATTAACATTTAGATTTGCTTGCTTTGGGCTGTCTTTTTCCCTTATGCTTAATTGAAATACAGTTGAAGTCAAAATTAATAGCCCTTGAAGTTTTTAAAAGTAACGAAAACGAATGAAAAAAATGAAAACTAAATTTGAAAAATAATTTTCGTTACCTGAAATAAAAATAAAAATGAGAGTTTAAAAAAAAATAGAACTAACTGAAACTGTATTATACAAAACTAACTGAAACTAACTAAAATTACAGCAAAAGTCCTTTGTTTTGGTCTTTGTAAATGTATTTAACACAGACTATATGCCTTTTAAAAGTAAATCCATTTACTTCGCACTGTCCAGTGTTTGAAACGTACGGCACTTCAGAGTCTGTAATCCTGCTGATGCTATTGGCCAGATCAAGCTAGTCCTCCTCCAGTCAGTCCTCGCTGTTGCTCCCACCACAAAAACAACAGCTGGACATGACAGCAGCACGGTGACAGCATTAAATATGACCCGAGAAGATGCTTAAAAGTATTAATTTAACACATTTGTGCCAAATGATAGGTTTTAATTCTGTATTAATTATAGTGATCCCAAATTAATGGTTCTTTTAACTGGATCTTTTAAGAGAACCGGTTAAACTGATTCACCAAATCGAACTGAATCATTTGAAACGATTCACGCCTCCAGCAACGTTAAGCACTTATTCACAAACTACTTACTTATTAACATGCCTGATACCCCCTCTGACTCGAAATAAACCAATATATACACTATGGAGTTATTCAGTTAATAGAACAGTTAACACAAATAACAGACTTGAGAAGCAGTGAACCGATAATACTGCGCATGCGTGATTCAGTGAACCGAACACAAACAGTACATGACAGCCTGCTGTGATTGAACTAAACTTAAACAACTGCAGCATGGGTAAACTGAGGGCTTAAATGAGAGGATCTGGCGAAATGTAAGTTTATCTCATTATAGAAAGTCGTAATGGAATTTAAATAAGTGAATCATGCTTTAGTTGGGTTGCAAAACGTAATAGTAAGAAACTTTTCAGATCATGTTGATTATTTACCTGACTGAAATTTTGATTGCTGACTATATATTTTTGATAAGTTGAGTCCAATCTTTGAAAGATTGACACAAAATATGATTTTGAATCTTGAACCTAACAAATATCTTAATTTACAAAAAAACAAACAAACAAGCTAAAAACTAAAACTAACACTGAAACTGATAAAAACTAAACTAAACTAAAACTAAGCACTTTCAGAATATAAAAAAATGTAAATCTTTCTCTAAAAGCTAATTAAAACATTTGAAAATAAAAAGTCAAAACGCAATACAAACTAAAACTAATAAAAATCTGAATCTATTATAACTTTGCTTAAGTGTTGCTCAATGGATAGATGATTTTTAAACATAATAGTTTTAATAATTAATCTCTGATGACTGGTTTATGTTGTAGTTGTCATGATGACAGTACATACGATTTTTCTACTTAATTTGCAAGATGCTAACATTAAAAGCAATATAAAGGCCTAACTAGGTTATTATTGTGTTAACTAGGCAAGCTATATGGAAACAGCAGTTTGTTCTTTAGACAATCAAAAAATAAAAAGAATCATTAAAAAAAATAAATAAATAAATAATTTTATATATATATATATATATATATATATATATATATAATTTTTTTTTTTTTTTTTTTTTTTTTTTTTTTTTTTTAAAGGATGCTAGTAATATTGAAAATTGTTAGTAAATTGTTTTGAAACTGCTTTTATTCCAGTCAAAAAAAAAAAAAAAAAGACTTACCTTAGAAGAAAAAATTATCTGAATCTGAATACTGTGAACATTTCATTGGTCTGTTAAACATCATTTGAGAAATATTTTTAATTAAAAACATTTACATGAGGGTGAATAATTTTGACTGTACTTTGGTAAACAACACATATATTTACTTTTTCTTTTTTCTTTTTTTTACTAATATTATTGAGAATCTTCCAGACTTGATTGACTGTACTGTACTATACAATACTATACTATACTGTTGTAAACAAATGATAAAAATATATAATCTCATACTAAAATAAGATATATGATCATACAATACATGACCAAAAATACATTGATTTGTTGCTTAAATTACCTTTGGTTGCAGAAATAGTAATTAAAATACTGTAAGGTGAATCATTTTAATCATTTGAATATTGTCAATAACAATCAGTTTCATGTATTTACTTAACCACACATGATTTTGTTCATCTTAACACTTGTTTGTCAGATAACATTTGTTCATTAAACTTTGGCAATTGAAACAAGTTGTGTTATTGTGTTTATTAAAATGCTTTACTTGTTTTGTACATTCCTGACTCAATTCTTCCTCATTCAGGGTTTTTCCTCGTTTGTTGTGTACTAAAAAGAGTATGCATATGCAGATCATTTATTCATTCATTGCTTTTCTTTTCGGCTTTGTCTCTTTATTAATCTGGGGTCACCACAGTGGAATGAACTGACAACTTATCCAGCATATGTTTTTAAGCAGCGGATTCCCTTTTAGCTGCAACCTATCACTGTGAAACATCCACTCTCATTCACACATATAAACTATGGTCAATTTACCCTACCCTATTCACCTATACCACATGTCTTTGGACTTTTGGGGGAAACCGGAGCACCCGGAGGAAATCCACAACAACACTGGGAGAACATGCAAACTCCACACAGAAACGCCAACTGACCCAGCCAAGGCTCGAACCAGGGGGGCCCCCACATTTTGCGGTACGCCACTGGATCTTACAGAATGTGGCAGTTAGATCGTAACTGTACTGTGCATTTACACCGTGACCATAATCATCCATGTAAACACACGAAAATAACATGAACATTATAGCAGACACTGTAAAAAGCCCATTCCCAGCCATTAGACTTTTCTGACAGGGTATTTGAATGTCATCGAGTGTCAGAATGTTGTGGGAGCAGCAATACTCCTGTTGTGGCTGGTGTATTCTGGGATTTTCTTACCCCTTGGTTTTGAGTGTGGTCCTGTAAAATCTCTCTTTCAAGGGCTATCTTCCTCTTCCCTTTAGCCCTACGCCTTCAAGCTAAAGAGAATTGGGACCGCCCTACCGCTCCACGGGAATGCAGAAAACGAGGGGTAAGGGGTAGAATTGGGATTGGGCCTAAGCGTCACTGCTGAAAAACACTGAAGAGCAACAGTTCACTCATTGAATTTACTACATTTTTAGGGTAAGTGGTTGCAAACTATTTATATGGGTTGAATTTAAAGAGCCCATATTATACATGAAATAGGGTCATATCTTGGTTGTAAGGGTCTCCAACAACAGTCTAATATGCATGCAAGGTCAAAAAACACTTTCATGGTCTTATAATCTGCATTTATTTTTACCTAATTATCACAGCGACTCCCGTATGAATCGTCCAGTGATTTATTTGTTCCCAAACCCCTCCTTAGCGCGAAGCTAATCTGCGCTGATTGGACCGATGACAGTCTGTCGCGATTGGTCGACTGCCTTCAGTCAGAGAGTGAAATGGCCAATAGCTAATCAGCAATATAAAAAGTAATCACAGTTCATACACGCTCGATAGTGTAGGCGTGGATTTTAGCTGCCACACTATGGCGAGTGGATAGTGCCACGGATAACCGAACGAAGGAGACAGTCGTGTACTCGCCATACCACACACACACAAACACACACACACCTCCGGACGACAACGCTTCCGCCCGCACCCGCCAAGTTTTAGCCTGAGAACCCGCTCCGTTTTCTGCCCGCCGCGCCCGGTCCCGCTAGAGCGGAGGAGAACACAACCAAAAATCACCCAGTATACAGTCCAGACAGCCAAGATGTCTGTATAAACACACACGCACAGCACCAAGCACACAAAGCTCGTTCGCTCTCTCTCTCTCTATCTATCTATCTCTATCTATCTCTCTCTCTCGCTCTCTCTCATACGCGCGCGTGCGCACTAACACACACACAAGCACCAAGCACTCTCTCTTTCAAATTCGCATAGCAATATCCGTGATATTGCTAGACAGCCCGCTCCCGTCCCAAATTAAACCCGTTACCGACCGCTCCCGCAATTTATTCGGAAATTTATTCCCGCGGCTGTCCCCGCGCCAGATTTCTGCGGCGCGGGAATAAATTTCCGAATAAATTGCGAGAGCGGAACTCTAGCATGGAGCTCCGTCAACAAAGCAGCACGCGTCGCGTTTTTAACGTGACTTTGCACGCGATAAGAGAATATATCCAGTTAACCTGATACAGTACACGCGGTTACAAGTAACAAATCACAACTAAATACATTTGCAAGCTAGAGTAAACGAGGCAACAACTTTAACCGCACGTACTTACACTTGAGAAATGGAAGAAACCCATCCTGACGTCCATCAGTTACTCTTTACTGATCCTTCCTTTAACAAACGCAGATGAAGTATTCTTTGTAGCAAGTAGCTTCCAGAAGTTTCCAACTGCTTGGTTATAATGCTGATGTTTCATCTTTGGGTAGAGACTCAATATAATATCCATCTGCAGTGTGACTTCAATCAACCGGCATGTTTGTGTGTGTGTGTTTGTGGGTGTGCGTGTGTTTGTGGGTGTGTGTGTGTGTCTGGGTTTCTGTGTCAGAGGGCGGGGCCTCAGGTTTGAAATCTCCCGGGTTTGCGCGTGCACGTGAATAACTTGGTTTCGTTCGTACGTCATGGCGAAACACCTAATGAATCGGTATCAAGGCGACTCGTTTGAAGCACTATGAGTCGACTCTTTTATAGATGAATCAACCGTTTTAAACACTGTATTCTTACAGATTTAAGCCTTAGCTGGATACTTCACTTCACTTAGAGCTGTGTTACACACTACATGGAGGGGAATTTTCAAAAACCCATAATATGGGCTCTTTAAACAAACTAAATGTAGCAATGTTCAAATTAATGTGTTTGTTTAAAGTCAGCCCATATCAATTGTTTGCAACCACTTACCCTAAAAATGTAGTAAATCCAATCAATCAATTTTTCAGTCTGGTAACACAAAAGAAGACCTCAGTCCCTATGATCACAGTGTGAACCAGAGATAGGGGACTCGAGTCACATGACTTGACTCAAGTCAGACTTAAGTCGCAAAATTTAGTACTTGAGACTTGCTTGACAAATATCCAAAAAAGACTTGACTTGACTGTCATGACTTGAGACTTGACTTGGACTTGAGTGAAATGACTCAAAATAACTTGTTTTTGTTAAATAAACACCTGTTTGTTATATATCATGCATTGCATACAACATCGAAAGATATATATGTAAATATAAATTGCAAAAGAAATTGCAAAAGTTAAAAAAATCGACCAAAATTTGATTGACTTGAAAGTGACTTGCTAGACCAAGCTACTGTGTGACTTGACTTGACTTGAGTCTGACAAAAATCGACTTGACTTGAAAGTAACTTGCTAGACCATCATCTGTATGACTTGACTTGACGAGATAAGCAGTGACTCGACTTGACTTGACTTGAGTCTGACAAAAATCGACTTGACTTGCTTGAGACTTGAAGGTTATGACTCGAGACTTGCTTGTGACTTACACAGGTGTGACTTACTCCCACCTCATCTGTCCTTTGTTCTCAGGCCTGTTCACACCTGAAATTGAGATGCATTTTCGTTGATCCAATCGCAAGTCGACAGCGCAGATGTCAATGGGGGGAAGCATTTTGAGCTTTTCCACTTTCTACCACTTCCAGAGGTATTCGAATACATTTAACTGATCTGGTATATTCTAATATATTTTTTTTTGTATGAAATTATTTGAATTATTTTTAATTATGTATATTGCATCTTTTTTTGCAATATTATGTTTCAACATCAGACAATCATCAGAAAGTAGCTGAAAGTACACTGTAAAAAAACCTTAGTTGACTTGAGTAAAATAGTGAGTGAACTTGTTGCCTTAAAATGCAGTGAATTAAGTATGTGCATAATTATACAAAAATAAGTTAACATTACAGCTCTAAGTACCAATGTGTTAACGCACGTATTTTTATGTAAAGTTACCCTGTTGCTTTTAAAGGGTCATGAAACACCAGAACACATGTTTTGAGCTGTTGACAGTCGTATATGTGTCCTACACTGCTAAAAACACTATTAGGACACCTATATTTCACTAAAAAGTGTAAATTGGTTGTTTTTGCGTTATTTCAAGCAAATTCGTACTTCCTGTTTGAAACTAATTTTTGAAGCTGCGTCACGGTCATGACATAATAGCGTGTATTCCAGCGTGCAGACTGGGCGTCTGTGCCAGAGTGTGTCTTATTACGTCTTACAGTGTGTTGCATTAATGCATGAGTAAGGCTTGGTTTAAACCAATCAGCGCGCTCTATTGTGCAACTTCATTAATATTCATTACTGTCAGAGTGTAGACGGCAGAGACGCCACGTTGTGTTGGCAAAACAAGCGTGAAGTGTTGCTTTTATAGTTTGCTGCAGTTAAGTTTCGTTTTCATTTTCTCTCTGTGAGAGCTCAGACTCACGCGTGGATTAACAGTGTACGCGACGCGCGACAACAATAACTTACGTGTCTAAGGGGGATTATTGTTTACCTGAGAGCTGTTCTCATCTGCAAACGCTGAAATCCAGATTGTAGTCTCCTCTAAATAAAGACGTGGCTCTAGTTGCTGGTGATTGTCCTGTCTCTACAGATTTGGTAAGTGAGCGACCAGTGCTCTTTGATTATTCAGTTCGTATTTTATTAGTATCAAACAAACTATTGCACCGAGTGCAATAGTTAGCACTAACAGTTACAACCAAACTATAACCTCGTGTTGGATTTTGTGACCGGAATAACACACGCGGCTTTCTGACGCTACCTGCCGTGTGCATCTAAGTTTCCAGGAAATGCTGAGTTTTTTTTTCTCTCATTCGCCGTGCGGTATCAAACTTTGCATGAAAAACACACGCTTAGAGCAGCGCCTCGAATCAAATATCACGTTTGTCGGGAGGGACATTAATGAATTCCCTGAATAAAAGAGCCAAACTGCAGTTAAAGTCCACCATTTAATAATTTGGCAAATAATTGGACTACAGATGTCCATGTAAACACAGTCACATTGTCCGCTGTGGGTATGTGTTTTGACTCTGAAATTCAGCGCGCCCAGATAGACACTCCCACACCAAGCCTCTTTTCTCCCTCAGACACTCCCCCCTAAACAGAGCTGGACACGCCCACTTTTCTGACTTTTTCCAAAGTAGAGGTGTGACAACACCCTGCTGAAACGAGGCTTTAAGGCAGCAGGTTTACTCACTATTTTAGGTAAACCAACTAATCTCTTTATGCGATTTCTCTCTTAGAAATAAAGGTATAAAGCTTGTCACTGGAGTGGTACCTTTTCAAAAGGTATAATTTTGTACCTTAAATTTGCACATTGGTACCATAAACGTACACTACCTGACAAAGGTCTTGTAATCGATCCCAGTTGTAAGAGCAACAAGTTAAAACTTGACTTCTAGTTGATCATTTGGAAAAGTGTCAGAAGGTAGATTTTTCTGAAGAATCATCTGTTGAACTGCATCACAATCATAACAAATACTGCAGAAGTCCTACTAGAACCCGCATGGATTCTCACAGAAATCAGTCAAGTTTGGTAAAGGAAAAATCATGGTTTGGGGTTACATTCAGTATGGGGGCGTGCGAGAGATCTGCAGAGTGGATGGCAACATCAACAGCCTGAGGTATCAAGACATTTGTGCTGCCCATTACATTACAAACCACAGGAGAAGGTAAATTCTTCAGCAGGATAGCGCTCCTTCTCATACTTCAGGCTCCACATCAAAGCTCCTGAAAGCAAAGAAGATCAAGGTACCCCAGGATTGGCCAGCCCAGTCAAAGTGAACATTATTGAGCTTGTCTGGGGTAAGATGAAGGAGTGGTTGAAGATGAATCCAAAGAATCTTGATGAACTCTGGGAGTACTGCAAGAACGCTTTCTTTGCCATTCCAGATGAGTAAAGGCCTTTGTCTTTCATTTAAGCCATTTCTGATTCCAAATGATCAACTAGAAAGCAAGACATTATTTGTTGTCCCTAAAACTTAGATAGGCGACAAGACTTTTGTCAGGTATTGTGCAATTTTGTTCCTTCAGGGCAGATTTTTGGATCTTTAAGGCACTATGAGGTACACATTTGTACTTTTTAGATATTAATATATACCTTTAAGGTTTATATGTGTCCCTGTAAGACACAAAAGTATACCTATTTATTTCTGAGAATGTAGAGAAACTTTTAAATGCCAGATGTGACTGGTAACGTGTCCCATATGTATATATGTGTATCCTTACCATTTGCCATTTACATGCTGCTTGAAGAGCATTAAATTAGTAAAATAATTTTTTTACAGTAGGTATCCCATTAAAACACCAAAAAATCCTCTTTCATTTTACAGTAGGTATCCCATTAAAACCCAGAACATTTCCACTTTTTTTTTTTTTACTGTTGGTATACCATTAAAACACAGAATCTATAAATTTTTTTTACTGTATATATACTATTAAAACACAGAAAAAGGTCCTCTTTTTTACAGTAGGTATCCCATTAAAACACAGAATCTGTCTGTTTTTTTACTGTAGGTATACTATTAAAAACACAGAATATTTCCACTTTTTTACTGTTATTATGCCCTTAACAAAAGAAAATAACCGTTTTTTAATATAGAAAACCCTTAAATTATTATAAAATGTTTCGATATTTTACAACAGTTTAACCGTCAAAAAACTGAGATTGTTTTGTTTTTTTAATGGGGACACACTGTCAATTAACAGAAGTTTTCCGTTTTTATTTACGGTAAAATATTTGTGTAATGAGCTGCCATGCAGTACATTTTCCCGTTTTTTTACGGAATTTTTTTTTAGAGTGCACTTGTGATCAAAAGTGAATCTTAATACAAGGTGTAAACAGGGCCTCTGAAAACCAAGGTGTGAAAGATCACTGACCACAACTTGCAGAACTGGTTTTCATGCCTGAACAGACACAGGGAAAGAACACTATCAACATAAAAGACTAATCTAGTCAGATTTAGGCCCATTTTGTCCCAATCAGGTGAACCATCGGTTTCACTAAACAGTTTTTTGTCATGTGTCTCACATGGATTCAAATCAAAGGATTACATATTGTTCCAATTAAAAAAAAACATCATCCATACATACATAAACATTGTCCAAGATAACCTTGCTTATTAATGTACTGTGTGTTTATGAATGCGTAGGTAAAGATCAACATTACATAGTCAGGTTTGGTCTTCATGTTTGCCCATGTTGTTCTGAACTTGGTTTGGAATTTGAAAGTATACATTTAAAAGATCAAACTACTTATTTAAAATGAACTAAAACAACACAATGCTTGAGTTATTATTTATTTATTTTTTGCAAAAACTTAATTGTTTCATGTTTAATCAATTTAAATTTGTAAAAACTAATGTTATTTTAATTCCTTACTGAAAAACATGAAAAAACAAAAACACTTTTATTACAGTGTTTTTTACAGTGTAGGAATTTATTTAAGACACAATTCTCACCGTGGACTCGGACCAGGGGTGCCACTGGCTGACACAGGCCCTCTGTAAACTTTTCATGGACGAAAGTAAGGGCGGGGTATAGGGCGTGGGCCCCTAATAATATCTCTGGGGGCGCCCAAATTGCGTGAGCCTTTAGAATCATCCAAACATTCCCTTCCCCAAGCAGCGCCCCTGACTGGGACTATGCAAATGTCATTCACACTTGTGGTGGTCATCCAATTTCCACCCCTCCCAGTGTCCTCCAATCACAATGCTGGATTTGAAAGGCACCATCTTTGCAAATCCAGCCTCTCAGACAAAGGATAAAAACATTCTTGCTTAGACAGAAAAGGTTGGCTGCTCTAAAAAAGCACATTTCGTAAGTTACAGAGACAGGATTAGATTCCTAAACATCTGCAAAGTGAATTGGGGAAGTTTTAGACAGTAACTATCCTAGTGAACTTCAGCTTTTTTTTTTTTTTTTTGCTAACTGCTTCGACTTTTTTCAGATTGTCCGGATTGCTCAAGACTTCAGAACTCTCACCTCAAAGGATTCAGATTTCTGTGTTTCAGAAAGGACCTTTGTGATGATGAATAAGTTTGGATATTCAAGACTGTTGAAGAGTCTCACAAGGCTACAGGACGTCTAAACCTTCAAGGATTTCTGAATCTCCAGAAAGATCCATCTCTTTCCTTCCACTGCATCATTGAAGAGAAAGCGTAAATATATCACCTTACCAAACCTCTAATCAGAGACCTTGGCATTGTGTAATTCAGTGTTTGTGATTCTGGACCACAAAACCATGATCAAAGTCCATTATTCCATAACCAAACTATAGTCATAATTGTCATTCTTTTGAAACAGAGATTTATGCATCACCTGTGAGATGATTGATGTATGTTTGTAATGACAGGACAATATTTGGCAACAACTCTGCATAAAATCTGTAATCTATGGGTTCAAAAAATCAAATACACGCATTTAAAGTCTAAATAAAATGCTTATCAGTGCACATAACTAATCAAGTTTTGATGCATTTACTCTAGAAAATAGACTAAATGTCTTCATGGAACATGATCTTTAGGAAATAGTCAAATAGTTTTTGAAATAAAAAACAAATCTATTACTTCGAGCCATACTATGTATTTTTGGCTATTGGCAAAAAGAATCCTTTGCAGTTCAAGACTGGTTTTGTGCTCTTGGGTAACATATGATGTTCTAATTTGCATAAGTTGCCTGTAACTAATATAAGTTAATAACAAAATCTTCCTCAGTAATTTGTTATTTTACTATAAGGTTTAGCTATCTAGCCTCTCACTAGCTTATCTTTATAGATGGTAACTTAAAGGTCTTTGCACGCTGAAGTCTGAAATTTTCATATGTGCTTTTTTCGCATTCATATGCGAAAAATTCATCTCGTACACAAAAACCTTGCACACTGAGTCAATGCGTATTAATTAATCCATTAAAAAAAGCAAAACATTTCGGAGTCAATTCAAGCAGTGAAACTTTGTTTTCCTCTCTTCGCCAAAGTAGAAAAGGAAAGAGGAATATGCGACATTGTGTTCATCCAATACTGAATAGGGAGGAAGATCTGCAGTGAAGTTTTGAAAGATTGCTTTTGATACTTCAAACATTTACATTACGTAAATGAACAAATCCTGAATAGAGACTTGCAGTACCTATAGACCAGGGATGCTCAATCCTGTTCCTGGAGATC